GGTAGAGTCCATTAGTGATTTCGAGTCCATTAACACTAAACATCTTGAGATATAAGTTAAGTCATTCAGTTATATATACAATTTATTACAATGAGTTACAGAAGCGGCTCTTAACCTGAGGAATGCCAAAGCTCAGGTAAAATAGTCAACATAACCCTGATTCAGAATCCAATTAAATAAACGCAGGTATGTACACAGGATGGTAACTAAAGCTGTGTTGTTTGAATAATTACTACGTGTTGATGGGTTATAATGTGTAATGTCCTAAATGAGCGATACATTTTAACATAGGCTGAATACCTCCGTCTATTTACTGTGGGTTGGGTGTTCCCTGGGGGCTATGTGAGACGTTTAAAGTACGATTTTTACTCTTTCTGGTGACCTCATCATCCTCATCATCATCATCATCATCATCAACTATCAGAAAATGTCATGTTTTAATTTTTTTCTTATATTTCTGTTCTTTTCATATTTTTATTTTTATTTTCAGCCATTTCTATGTCAATTCTTATTATATTTTTTACCGTGGAAATAACTGAAGTACTCTGGATTTTCTTCTATAGCTGTAGTAGAAGAGAAATATTCTATACCAAACATTGTCAACAAACATTACGAGATACTGTGCCTTTTTCTTCCAAACATTTTTCTTGTAACATTTCACAAGCTGAGTGTGTAGAGTGACATGCGGTGTGTTCCCTCTGAGGTCTACCAAGGGCTGGAATGCCTGTGTGGAAGAAGCAATGCCACATCCTTCCCATTTGAAATTGGCTTGTGGGTTCGCATCCATCCATAATCGAGGTTGTAAAAATATTGCTTTCAATCATATATACATACATACATACATACATACAGACACAGACACAGACACACACATACATATATCTACATACATACATACATTCAGTCTTTCTTGCTGTTTTTGTTTGTTGTTCGAAAATGTTTACGGAGAAGCTGTCCAAAACGTTGCCATTGATTACGACCTTGTGAAAATATTTTATTCTCTCACAAACACGAGGGTTTTTCTTCTCTTTGTTTGTTTACCCCGAAAAATATTTTATTCTTTGGGGATCAGGGGTCGCCATGGGTTGAAGGTTAGTCTCAGGGGTCGCCATGGGTTGAAGGTTAGTCTCAGGGTTGCCATGGGTTGAGGGTTAGTCTCAGGGGTCGCCATGGGTTGAAGGTTAGTCTCAGGGGTCGCCATGGGTTGAGTTAGTCTCAGGGTCGCCATGGGTTGAAGGTTAGTCTCAGGGGTCGCCATGGGTTGAAGGTTAGTCTCAGGGGTCGCCATGGGTTGAAGGTTAGTCTCAGAGGGTCGCCATGGGTTGAAGGTTAGTCTCAGGGGTCGCCATGGGTTGAAGGTTAGTCTCAGGGGTCGCCATGGGTTGAAGGTTAGTCTCAGGGGTCGCCATGGGTTGAAGGTTAGTCTCAGGGTCGCCATGGGTTGAAAGTTAGTCTCAGGGGTCGCCATGGGTTGAAGGTTAGTCTCAAGGGACGCCATGGGTTGAAGGTTAGTCTCAGGGGTCGCCATGGGTTGAAAGGTTAGTCTCAGGGGTCGCCATGGGTTGAAGGTTAGTCTCAGGGGTCGCCATGGGTTGAAGGTTAGTCTTAGGGGTCGCCATGGGTTGAAGGTTAGTCTCAGGGGTCGCCATGGGTTGAAGGTTAGTCTCAAGGGACGCCATGGGTTGAAGGTTAGTCTCAGGGGACGCCATGGGTTGAAGAATAATCGGGGGGGGGGCACAACTCCGCAAAAAGTTATTAGCCGCTGAGTTAAGGGATAAATTTAACTTATGGCCCATTGTAAATTCATATTTGGGAAGCAGCATAAGTGAACCAATTAGATAAGTTCCCAGATCACCATTTAAGATAAAATATTGATCTTAAGACCCTGTGACGCAGTTTATAGTGAGGAAGTTTGATACATCCTGAGGTAAAAGACTAAGTGAAAAAAAAAATAACCTTACGACTCTTTGAAAATCCATCTTTGTGTTGTAGTTTGAATAAGATAAAATCCCTCCTCATATCATCAGTTGGAGGAAAATGTTGCTCTTAGGAACTTCTTGAGAATCGATCTTTATGACGTAGTTTTAAGTGAATCGGTTAGATACGTTGTCAAGTTAGAGGTTATGGTTTGTATCGTAATATCCTTTGAGAACCCGGATGGAAAGTCGTACCTTGGTGCTCCCTCAGTAGTGTTCAAGACCAACGCGGTTTTAGGCTCGGGAGAGAAAGAGAAAATAAAAAAAACAAATTGCAGAAAGAGAAAAATACGGGAGAGAGAGAGAGAAAATGAGAGTAAAAGAGAGAGAGAGAGAAGTAAGATAGAGTAACAGTTAGGGTAAAAGATAGAGAAAAAATAGTAAGAGAAAGAGAGAAAGAGTGTGAGAGAGAAAGAGTAAAAGAGAGAGCAGGAAGAGAGGCTTAAAAATACATTTAAAGAAAAATTAGAGAGAATAATCATAAAATACAACTAAAACAAATTATACAAAGACAAATAGAACGAAATAGAAATAAAATAAGAAAAATTAAAATAAATCTCGAAAAAAACCCCACAATAAAACAGAGTAAATAAGAGACAGAGATAAACAAGCAATAAAAACAAAACAGGAGAAAGAGAAAAAGAAGAAAAGCAAATTAAAGAGAAGAAAAAAAGGAGAAACACTAAACTTGAATAATATAGAAGGGACCAAAAGGGGAAAATGATAAATAAATAGAAATAATAAAGATAATAATGAAGAAGAAAACGAATAAAGGAATAGAACACCAGAAGATAAAATAAAGCAAAAGATAAACAGAAAATTACAAACAAAATAGAAAACAAAAACAAGATTAAAAAAATAAAAAATAAAAGAAAATAAACAAAAAACAAACAGGAAAAACAGATAAATTAATGTAAACAAAACAAAAACACTAGAGGGTAAAAAAACGATAATTAAAACATAAGAAAACCAAGAAAAATTAAAGAAGAAAAACAGACAAACAAACAGAATAGGAAATAAACAGAAGACAAAGACAACGGAAAACAGAGAAAGGCCGAACAGGCAAGTAAAAATAAAAATAACAGAATGTAAAGAAAGAAATGGTAAAGCGAATCGGTGATAAAACATGAATGGGAGACGAAGGAAAAGAGCAAAACACATAAAGATAGAAGTTGAGTAGATAAGGGAAGGAAAAACAGAGAGAAGGAGACTCACAAACACTCACAAACACTCATAAACACTCAGACACACACATATACTCACAAACTCTCACAGACATTCATAAAACTCACAAACATTAACAGACACTCACAGGCATTCACAAACATTAACAGACACTCACAGACATTCACAGACACTCACAAACACTCACAAGCTCTCACAGACACTCAGAGACACTCACAGCCATTCAGACACTCACAAACACTCACAAACACTAATGAAAACTCACAAACATTCACAGACACTCACAAAATGCTCGCAGACTCTCATAGACACTAAAAAAAGACACCCACAAACATTCAGACACTTAGATACACTCATAAACACTCACATACACTTACAGACATTCACTCACTGACATTCATACACATTCATAAAACTTAAAGATACTCACAAATTTTTAGTCACTCACAGCCACTCATGGACACTCAAAAATACTCGCAGACACTCATGAAAACTCACAAATACTCACAAACGTTTACAGACGCTCACAAACACTCACGGACACTCAAAGGCACTCAGATAGACTCACAAGCAACCATGTATAGACTCACAGAGAGACTGGCAGATACTCACAAATACTCAAAATGACAGATAGACTCAAAAGTAGACACAGACAGCGACACATACAGACATACTCACAAACATGCAGCCTGAAATATACAAACATAGACAGGCTCATAGAAAGACTCACAGACAAACGCACAAACACTCACAGACAAACGCACAAAACCAGCCGACCCAGAAAAGGTTACGAGTGGATCATAATGTTTACGTCTCGCCTGGCCTGGGCTGTTGACCTGACCACCCATCCCCTCCCCACTAACACGTTCTGGAGAGAGAGAGAGAGAGAGAGAGAGAGAGAGAGGTTACATTGTTTGTGAGTCTATATTTATTTGTTTGTATACTTAATTACGTCGAATGATGAATTACATACAGACCATTAAAATATATTATATACCATTTGTTAATTAGTGGAGGTAACACTATACATGTGACGTCATTTCCTGCCTGCAGCGTCCGCCATGTTTGTTTACTCATCTTCGCTTCCGTTATTCATATCGGCATTTCGATTACACAGATATTATAGATCGTTATAGTTTATGGCATTTTTTTCCAACAAGGTCGTTTTAGTATTCGAAATTAACATAATATAACCCATGGGTGTTTTATAATTATTTGGCTGTTTTAAGGAGTTACGAGGTCGATAGTAATATACCCACTCGCAAGTGTTTCCCGTTCCTGTGATATGCAGGACACAAAATGAGCCCCCGATTTGCATAATAACATGAAGATCTTATAAAAGTTTAATTAACTAGTGTAATGAGTCAGATAATGTGGTCCTAACCCACTTCATGGCTACATTTTTATATTACAAAAAAAAAGAGTTAAGTAGCAGCGTTAAAATTAAAAATATTTCATTGACGTTCCAATAATTTACCCGAGTAAACTGCTGCATAATACTGAATTTGCAATATTTTACGTGAGACGCCCGGTAATAACTTCCATTTTAGTGGTCATAATGAACCGGGTGATAATTCAGCCATTATTAGTGATATTAAAGAATGCGAAGAAGCTCATATCTGATGTGTGAAGGAGGGTTGTGTTTGTTGTGGGTAACGGAGGGGTTCTGTAGGGTGAGGATTGATTACCTATGTAGTTTGACGAGACAAAGGTTTAAGTCTCTCTCTCTCTCTCTCTCTCTCTCTCTCTCTCTCTCTCTCTCTAACAATAACATATACTTTTTCTGTTAAAAGCAAAATTACATTCAAGATTTCAACTATTTTTTTTTCTTTTTCGCAGGAGGAATGAGGAGACCTTGGCTGCTGTTCGTAGGATGTGTCCCAGTCATCCTCAGCTTCCTAGGTACGTATGACTTCCTCCAACCCAGCCAATCACCATCCTGCTGTGACCTGAGCTTCAATCATCATCCAATCCTGATAGTAGATTCACCTCTCATCTAATCCTGACAATATTTTCACTCATCCCTTCACCCAATCCTGAAAATAACTTTACTCATCCGTTCACCCAATCGTCAAAGCAACTTCACTCATCCTAATCGTTGCATATAGAAAGCCATTTTACCCACACGGACAAGAACTCGAGCCATTCAACTGTGAACACAATTTAACCCATCCAAAAGAATCGTTAACCTGGGAGCAATAATTTCTGACACACACACATAAATCCTTCATTTCTGACAGCAGTTTCAGTCATCACATTCACTGTATTCTGACAACATCTCAACTGACTGAAACTACAAATTATTCCCCTTACAAGAGGTTCACCATTTGATATTATTCTGACACACGTATTTCTAACAGGTACTGTATTCTGACAGGTATTGTAGACTAACATGAGTTTTCCACGAGTCAGCTAATAAATGTATGTGTTTTACATCTGTATTCTAATCTATAAATGATGCGGGCAGACAGGGAGGTAGTCAAGGGTTACAACCATGAATATTACTGTGTTGTGTGGTAGGGATTGGTTGTTGGTGATGGTCAATGGTGGTGTTTGGTTGCTAGTGGTGGTGTGTGGTTGTTGTTGGTGGTGTGTGGTAGTATCTGGTTGCTGGTGGTGGTGATGTGTAGTGGTGTGCGGTGGTTTGTAGTTGTGTGTGCTGATGGTGTTTGGTTTTTGGTGTGTGGTGGTGTTTGATAGTGGATATAATGCATGGATCTCTCTCTCTCTCTCTCTCTCTCTCTCTCTCTCTCTCTCGTTAGTTCTGAATGAGTGGATAGCGACGAACACTGGCGATAAATAATGCCTTGACCATAAATATCGGGAGAAAAATTACGACTGTTACCTCGGGAGTAAAGGAGATAAAAAAGAGAGAGAGAGAGAGAGAGGGAGAGAGATACACGGGGACAGAAAAGAGATAAAGAGATAGCTAAATTGACAAATAAACGGAGAGAAAGAGATAGAACAAGAGAATAGGAGAAAGTACAAATCAGACAGGTAAAGAAAGGGAGACGAAAAAAGAGAAAGAGAGAGAGAGAGAGAGAGAGAGAGAGAGAGAGAGAGAGAGAGAGAGAGAGAGAGAGAAACAATGTCCTACACCATAAATATTGTAAAAATGATATGTGGGAGCATGTGGGCAAGATAGGACAAAGGAGTCGGGTTTCATCTTGTTGAATACAGAGTAGCCAAAAAGCTTTTCCCTCGAGTTCTCACAACACGCTAGTTATCCCTCTCAAAATAAAACAAACCCCCAAAAAAAAAAACCCTGAAAATCCTTGACGACAAACAAAAAACGGAGACAGTTGATGGAGGATAATCCGACTTCACTCTTAAGATAGGCGTTTTTATAAAGTATCCGGATTTTTAGAATATATCTGGATTATGTAGGAAAGAAGAAAGTCGACAGCTTGTTTATATTAAAAAAAATGTGAAGTGGAAGGGAGAGCCGTGGGGGAAGGAGGTGTTGCTGTTGTGTTGGGGGATAAAAGAAGTGTATAAGGAGAATGAAAGATAGTGTGGAGTAAATACGTAGAAGTATAAAGATAGGAGAGGGGAGAGAAAGAAAGACAATGCAAGAATAAGAGATAATGTAAAAAGACCAAGACGTTTATATTTACGGTTGGTGTGTTGTGTATCATGTGTGTTTTGTGTGTTTTGTGTCATGTGTGTTTCTGTGTGTTTTGTGTCATGTGTTTCTTGTGTGTTTTGTATCATGTGTGTTTCTGTGTGTTTTTGTGTCATGTGTGTTTCTGTGTGTTTTGTGTCATGTGTGTTTCTGTGTGTTATGTATCATGTGTGTTTCTGTGTGTTTTGTGTCATGTGTTTTTCTGTGTGTTTTGTGTCATGTGTGTTTCTGTGTGTTTTGTGTCATGTGTGTTTCTGTGTGTTTTGTATCATGTGTGTTTCTGTGTTTTTTGTCATGTGTGTTTCTGTAGGTTTTGCGTCATGTGTGTTTCTGTGTGTTTTGTGTCATGTGTGTTTCTGTGTGTTTTGTGTCATGTGTGTGTTTCTGTGCGTTATGTATCATGTGCGTTTCTGTGTGTTATGTATCATGTGCGTTTCTGTGTGTTATGTATCATGTGCGTTTCTGTGCGTTATGTATCATGTGTGTATGTGTGTTTTGTATCCTATGTGTTGTGTGCTTGATGTGTTACTCGAGTATTTGTCTTGTATACTAAACATCTGTGTTGGGTTTCAAATGTTTCGTTTTGTACCGAGTGTTTTTTTTTCGTTGTGTTTTATTAAGTTCTTGTTGTGCCGAGTGTATGTCTGTGTGCTGTTTGTGTTGTTTACTACAGGTGTATTTTTGTGTACTACAGATGTGGTTAAGAGTAAATTGTATGTTTTCAGGTGTGGTTGAAGCTAAATGTTGTGTATTACAGGTGTGGTTGAGGGTAAGTATTGTGCATTACAGGTGTGGTTGAGGTTAAGTGATTTTTATTACAGGTGTGGTTGAGGCTAAGTATTGTGCATTACAGGTGTGGTTGAGGCTAAGTGTTGTGTATTACAGGTGTGGTTGAGGCTAAGTATTGTGCATTACAGGTGTGGTTGAGCCTAAGTGTTGGGTAATTACAGGTGTGGTGGAAGCTGAAAACTGTATACTGAACGAACTTTTTTACGTATAATACATCAGGTGTAGTTCAGGCTTAATACTGTGTACTGAAGAACAATTTTCTTTTACCTGTATATAACTCAGGTGTATCTCTTTGTGTTATTTCAGGTGTGGTGGAGGCTGAGACACTACCTACCCTCACCCTCCACCCGTTCACCTACTTCACCTTACCACCTCCCCCTGCCTCCACACCCCTCCCCTCCTCCACACCAACCTATCCCATCATCCCTGAAACTAATAGTTCCTCCTCCCCAATCCTCATTTTCCCCATCTCCTCCTCCTCCTCCTCCTCCTCTTCCTCTTCGTCTTCCTCATCCTCCTCCGTGTCTCCTAGAGGATCCCCAGAGCCTTTGGAGGACGGGCAAGATGAGAAGGAAGGAAAGCAGGAAGAGGAGGAAGGGGAAGAAGGGGAAGAAGCCAAGGGGGAGGTGAGGGAGCCTTACTTCGCCAACCCCAACACCTCTGTCAGCGTCCACCTGGGGAGTAAGGCCACTCTAGACTGCACCGTCCATGACCCAGCAAACCATTCGGTGAGTAGATGAGTTTCGGGGTACGAGTGTTGGGGCACGAGTGTTGGGGCACGAGTGTTGGGGCACGAGTGTTGGGGCACTTGAGTGCTGGGGGGCACGAGTGCTGGGGCACGAGGTTGGGGTACTTGCTGGGGTACGAGTGTTGGGGGCACGCGTTGGGGCATGAGGCAGCAATGAGTGTTAAAATGAGTGTTGGGGCACGAGTGTTGGGGCACGAGGTTGGGGGCACGAGTGCTGGGGGATATAAAGATGGGAAGGAAGGGGTGCAGGAGAGGGAAGGAGGGGAAGGAGAGCAGAATTGGGAGGGGGAAAAGGCTGAGGGGGTAGGGTTGGAGTGGGGGAGGGGTGTAGGGGATGTGAGGGAGGAGAAGGAGGAGGGAGGTGGAGGAAGGGGGTGAAGAGGGAGGGGGGTGGGGAAGGGGGAAGAGGGTGTGTGGGCTTTATGCTGGCTGGCACGGATTTTGGTATTCGGAAGCTTGTAAAGGTGACCTCCCCTCTCCCACCACCACGCCCTCTCTCTCTACCTCTCTCTATCTCTCTTTCATACCACCACACCCTGTCTTTCCCTCACACCACCACACCCTATTTCTCTTTCTCACACCACCACACCCTATTTCTCTTTCTCACACCACCACGCTCTATTTCTCTTTCACACAACCACACCCTGTCTGTCACCTCTCTCTCTCTCACACGCCTACACGCCCTGTCTCACACTTACACGCCCTGTCTCACACCTACACGCCCTGTCTCACACCTACACGCCCTGTCTCACACCTACACGCCCTGTCTCACACCTACACGCCCTGTCTCACACCTACACGCCCTGTCTCACACCTACACGCCCTATATGTTAGAACCAGGGTGTGATAACCTCCAATTACCTCTGACCTTGTCCTTAACCGTTCAATGGAGGGTTAAGGTGCTTGAGAGTTAATTGGTCGCCAGAGAAAGGGTTAAATGGTAGCTGGATAAAGGGTTAAGTGGTAGCTGGATAAAGGGTTAAGTGGTAGCTGGAGAAAGAGGTTAAGTGGTAGCTGGATAAAGGGTTAAGTGGTAGCTGGAGAAAGAGGTTAAGTGGTAGCTAGAGAAAGGTTACATGTTTCATCTGTTTATGGATGTGACGGGGAAAATTGGATACTTTAGCGTGTGGGGGGGGGGTGGGGTGGGGGTGGGGGTGGGGGGTGGGAGGTGGGTGAGGGAGTGGGGGGACCATCGGTGACTCCCATGACTCTGAACTGTGACCATTCCACCACCTAGGTAGAGATTGATTGAAGGTATTACCTGGATAGAGGGATCACCTGAACATTATAATATCCTAATTTATTTCACCTGTTCATGATATGTGCTATTGTTACTTGAAGGGTGTTAGTGTTAGGTTAGTGTTAGGTTAGGTTAGGTAGGGTGTTGTTTGATTATTTTATTAATATCCGTGTTAAAGAGTTATCGTTTGGACACAACACAGACAGAAGATGACAGAGAGGACAGAGTTGGATACACCACCCAACACCCCAACCAGACCAATAATTTGTGTTTCAGTGTTGTGTCGAGGCATAAACCTAGTTAATATTTTTTCCTCTCTGCTGACCGACATATGCGAAAGAATCAGTTTCCCAGCCAATATATTGCGACTTTTGGCCGTTGTTGTTTTGGTTGTTGTTTTAAAGTGTTGAGTCAAAGTCAGACCAAATTTCGCCTCAAACTCTCCAACTGGGAAGTTATTGGAACACTTTTACCACTAAGTCAGGAGAAAGTCAGGGAAAGGTCTCGGGAAAGTTGAAAAAGTTGAAGGTTCTTTGGCTCGTCCTGTCATTATTGACACCAGTTTACGCCAGACGAACGATAGCAACAACTCTTCCTGCAGAGAGTTACAGTGGAAGAAGATAATTCCCGAAGGAAAAAAGGAGAAACAGAAAAGATAAAAAAAAAAGAGGAAAGGAGAAGCAAAAATAAGATGCAAATTAAAACGACAAAAAAATAAATAACAAACAACAATAACAACAACAACAATAACAACAACAACAATAACAAATAAATAAATAATAACAACAATAATAACAAACATAAAACACAAAAGAGATATACATTTTTTATCTGTTCTCAATCCGGAAATTAACGTTCTGATATAATCTTAACAACCAAACACACGCTGCAAACACGACTTTTTTTTTTCTCCCAGGAAGATCACAGACGGCGAATTATATTAACATTCTTACTATATTATTGAAACTAAGATTATACTACATTTCGAAATACGACCATACGAGTTATTTAATTTTACGATAGTTATTGATATTTTAATCTTAAGAGAAAAGTCATAGAGGTGATTGAATACTTTACGAGAGATATTAATACTCTGAAAAAAATATAATACCTATCGGAATAAAATATAATTAATCTCCTAATTAACACCTCATCAGCTTAAACACAGGTAGGATTAACAGATTGGGATAAATAAATAAAACTGGGATTATACATTATGAATTTACTCTCCTATTTATTGTAAGACCAAACTATTATACTTAGTGAATTCGACAATGGGATTACTTGTCATTAATCTGGTGAGGATTTACTAAGCGTGAATACATAAGACAAACGAACTACGGATTACATTTCGTCCTGTTGGTGGATTTTGCAGGGATTTACCAGCACATCAGCTTATACATGGACAGGATTACGGAATGCATTACTTTGTGTGCTAAATGTTTCATAAAAATAAACATTATATATTAGGCATGTTACTATCTATCTTTTTATCTATCTATCTATAATTAAACAGCTATATAGGTAGGGGAATTGATAAGTAGAATGACATACATACATACATACATACATACATACGAAGACTTAGGTCACTTGGGACACCCACGCCAGAGCTGAGGACCATCTACAACGCCTTTATTCTCCCCAAACTAACGTATGCGTCACCAGCCTGGTCGTCGTCTCTCAACTCCACCCAACAACGTCAGCTAGAGAAGGTACAGAAAAGGGCCTGCAGAATCATGCTCGGCGCAGAATACTCCTGCTACACCAACGCCTCTCCACCCTGGAAATGCCATCCTCAGTGACCTCCACCACCAAGCACTGGAAAGGTTTGGCAGTGACTACTGTACCACCTCGTCATCGCCACCTCCTGCCACCTGCAGCCCCCACCCAACTTGCGCAGTCCGCCACTACAACAAAATTCAGCCCATAAGAGCCCGCACCGATAGATATAAGAACAGCACCATCCCATCTATTGTTAAAATAATAAACAACTCCTGATTTATGTACTGTACAGCCCTGTAAATGTATTCAATGCATATTATATCATTATGTCTAAATCAAATGTAAGTCTGTATATTTTCAGCCACCGGCTGCAACTCTATTAATAAACCGTTTATTATTATTATTATTATTACATACATACACACACCAGAGAGACAGACATAAATAAATCACCCATTAAATAAATCAGGTGTTGAGCCTCGTAGGGGATTTATCATCATGAGTCTTTATAAGAAGTACACCTGGATTAATGATAGCCAGGTAATGGAGGCGATTATATGCTGGATTAATAAACAGTGGAGGACTCAACCAGGTAATCGGACAAGGATTTAATATAGTTGGAGAGAGAGAGAGAGAGAGTTAGGAGAATGAAATAGAGATAAGACAGAAATCAAATAGAAACAGAGATTTACAGACAGATAAACACCGACAGACAGACAGACAGATAAATACACACACACAGACAGACACAGACAGACAGAGTAAGGTATTTTTCTCTCTCTATTGACTTCTGATTCCACGGCAAAGGTCACCATCATCACACCCACCACCACCATCACCACCATAATCACCACCCAAGAAACTCACCATCACCCTAATCACCACCAACACCACCATCAGAGCCAACACCCACACCCCCACCCACACCCACACACCCACCCACCCTCACACACACACACACACCTGTTACCTGTGTCCCTTAATGGTGCAGTCTTGTAATGGCACAATCGTGTAATAATGAGTGTCATAAGAGCCATAGTGGTGTTATAATCAGATAGGACCAATAACCAATGAAGAGGTCGGTGGGGGGAGGGAACAGGGGAGGGAACAGGGGGGATGGGTGGCAGGGGTGATAGGGGACGGGGTCAGGGGGGACGGGGGCATCAGGGGTAAGGATGTCTTTAGTGTAGGTGGAGGTTATATCGGGGTCCTTTTTATCTGGTTGCTTTAAACGAGGACGTCTCTATAAGGTGAATGTTGCTTCGGGCCATTAAAACGTATTAGAGGTGGCAGGAGTTCTGGCGTACAGCATCTGGCGCCATAAAGTGGATCACAGGCTGTAGCAACTGAGGTGAAATTGAATTGGTGCAGGTGTGTGTGTGTGTGTGTGTGTGTGTGTGTGTGTGTGTGTGTGTGTGTGTGTGTGTGTGTGTGTGTGTGTGTGTGTGTGTAGCTGTGAGTTTGTGTGTATGTGGGGGTAGGTGTGTGAAGGGATCGTATGAATGTGAGGGGAACTAACACATTGTATAATAATATTAATAATAGTGGTGATGATGATGATGATGATAATGATGATGATGATGATGATGATGTTTATTATAGTGACATGACAGCAATCATAGTAACAACAACAACAAGAACAACTACATCATCATCATCATCAACAACAACAACACTAATAGAAAATAACAGCAACAAAAGGTGTTCTTCTCTCATGAGGACAAAAAACTTTCACAAGTAAAATTTAATAACTACCGAGAAATTACTCATATATTTTACAGACTCTCTCTAAAAACCCACAAATTCATGGCTTTAAAATATTTCCTCCTTAAAACGCGTCTTATATATCATCTGACTTATGATTTATGTCGCTATTAAATGCAGAGAGCAAACGTGAAGCTACACAGTCTAAACCAACGAGAGAAAAATAGTGTCTGTTTACACGGGCGCTAGCTTGAGTAGAGCGGCTAGTGCCTATTGAGTCGGAGGGTTAAAAGGTCTTTGGCCCTATTCTGGCACCAGCTGGCCCTTAATTCGAGTTCGAGCCAGGTTTTTCAATAAATTTGGCACCAGTATTGGCACTTGCTGGGACTTCATCCAAACCACCAGGAAATTGCTCACAGCCGGATAGAAGGCTTCGGAGAATGAGCCAGATTATCTACATATCGGTAATGGTGAGACTGAGGATAATGAAGTATAAAAAACTCACTTTTCCCCTCGCAGATCTGGGTGTCAGTGGCGTCAGATTCATCGTGGTTTAAAAGTTGATGCCTGTACTGAATTATAAATGTGAATACTGTACACAGGCATTTATGAATTTGTTAACTCACATATATACAAATTATTATTTATATGTAGATACTTAAAAACAACGGCCCATAGTTCCCGGCGTGACTGAGATCAAGACGCACAATAATTCATCAAATGTTATCAGTTGACCCTTCCTTATGGTATCCTAGTTGTGTTCTGGTGTGCTGTTCTTCTTCCCATCATCACCACTATCACCACCATCATTATCACCATCACTACCACCACCACCACACCACCATTATCATCACCACCACCATTATCACCGCCACCACTACCATTACTATCACCACCACCACCCACCATCACCATTATCACCACCACCACCAACTCCCCACCACCATTATCATCACCACCATTATTATCACCGCCACCACTACCACCATTATCACCACCACCACCCCACCATCACCATTATCACCACCACCATTATCACCACCACCACTACCACCATTATCACCACCACCACCCCCATTATCATCACCACCACCATTATCACCGCCACCACTACCACCATTACCACCACCACCACCACCCCCACCACACCATTATCACCACCACCACCATCACCACCACCACCACCACCATTATCACCACCACCCCATTAGCATCACCAACACCACCATATCACCACCACCACCATCACCACCACCACCATTCATCACCACCACCATTATCACCACCACCCACCATCACCATTATCACCACTCACCACCCACCATCACCATTATCACCACCACCACCACCTCCTCACTCACTCACCACCACCACCACCACCACATGGCCCCTTGGTGTAACCCCTCTGTCACCACCTATAACCTCAGCAACCACCCACCAGCAACCAATCGACACAAGGTTGTAATATTCTCCAAACATCCGCCATTGTTTCTTGGTACCTCTCTCTCTCTCTCTCTCTCTGTAATTATATTTATTCTTTCATATTCCACACACCTACCGAACCTACTGACTCCACAACCTTACTCACTCCACATCCATCCTTACTCACTCCACATACATCCTTACTCACTCCACATCCATCCTTTCTCATTCCACATATATCCTTACTCACTCCACATCCATCCTTACTCACTCCACATCCATCCTTACTCACTCCACATACATCCTTACTCACTCCACATACATCCTTACTCACTCCACATCCATCCTTTCTCATTCCACATATATCCTTACTCACTCCACATCCATCCTTACTCACTCCACATACATCCTTACTCATTCCACATACATTCTACTGACACCCACACACACACACACACACACACAGTATCATATTATATTTTCCAATGTTTATAAAACGCTACGTGTACAAACTATTGTGCCAGTGTTTTGTGTGAACCTACAAGCAGGTTATCCAACATGCATCAATTTTGTATTTTTTATCAAACATTGAAATAAAATATCTAGGTCACTCGTCCCAGAGCTGTGTTGAGTATTAGTAATCTCTTTCTTATCTCAGTATATACTACAATATCCTCATTCTACGAACTAGGAAAAAAAATAGAAGCGAGGAATATTTTCTCCCATCCTAGTATGCACAACAATGTCTGTATTACGTAAACTGGGAAATATATACAGCGAGGATCATATCTTCTTATTACAGTATGTAAAACAATAATCGTATTACCTGCACTAGGAAAAAAAATCCGTTAAGAACAATATTCCCTATTCCAGTATGCACTACGACAAGAGTATTAACTGAACTAGGAAAAAAAAACACACAACCATTATCACGTTACGTTGTTAAAATATGAACTCTCACTGAACGACTAACATAACCCGACCCGTTATCATTACACTCGCGCGCTAACAAATTTATTAATTACATCGCCGTGTAATAACATAATGTAATTCATCTTTATAGCACACACGACTCGCCCGGTAACTTTGCAATATAAGTCGGGATTAGGGTGTGTTCCCCGGGTGCAGATATTAGAGGTGCATTAAGCCTCTCCCGTGACGTAATAAGCTTTTGCGAGTTGACTAAATGAACATTATTACAATATCCTCTGATGTAACTCATTATAATGCATGACTCAATTAAAACCTTACCAATGTACTTTGATATTGTACCTTTGGATACTTTCCCTCGTGTACTTCCTCTTTTAAAACTTCACCTGATACTTTCCCTCGTGTACTTCCTCCTTTAAAACGTCCCTGATACTTTCCCAGGTACATTCTCTTTGTATTTTCCCAGCGTACTTTCCCATGGTACTTTCTCAGGTATTTTCCCCATGTTTCTCTTCAGCCGCCCTTGACCGCCCCTTGACCCCTTTCCTTGACACTTTCCTTGACACTTTCCTTGACACTTCCCTTGACACTTCCTTGACACTTCCCTTGGCACTTTCCCCGCCACTCACGGTGTCACTGTCTCCCTCAGGTGTCATGGATGGAACAAATGGACGATAAACTAGAGCTGCTCACCTGGGACTCATACACCTACGCTAATGACAAGAGGTGAGTCACCTGAATCGCCCTTGGTGAGTCAAGAGTCTCCTGTGTTTTCATGAAAAGAGTCAGTTACGTTTTATAGTCATAGGTGAGTCAGTTACCTGTTAAGAGTCATAGGGGAATCAGTTACCTGCTATAGTCATAGGTGAGTCAGTTACTTGCAATAGTCATAGGTGAGTCAGTTACCTGTTTTCGTCATAGGTGAGTCAGTTACTTGTTATAGTGTTAGATGAGTCAGTTACTTGTTATAGTCTTAGGTGAGTCAGTTACCTGTTTTCGTCATAGGTGAGTCAGTTACCTGTTATAGTCTTAGGTAAGTTTGAGTCACCCCGAGTCATAAATATTTAGCTCTAACAGACTCCTCTCCTGACTCACAGAGAGAGAGAGAGAGAAACAGATAGAGAGAAGGACGAAGAGAAACGGAGAGAGGTAGAATCAGAGACAGATAAGGAGAGAGAGAGAGAGAGAGAGAGGTAAATTAAATAAAGTTACAGCTTAATTTCTTCGCCGGAAACCTCTCTCTCTCTCTCTCTCTCTCTCTCTCTCTCTCTCTCATAATTATTAAAGCTCAGAAATGAAGATACAGACACCGAAAGAAAAAAATATAAAAGATAAGAGAGAAAGCGAAAAAAATACGAAAGAGAGATAGAAAACTATTCACAGAGTTCATATTTTGGCGGTGGATGCCCATATTTTACACATAACTCAGAGTTTCACCAAAGTTACGAGCCGCCAATTTGAGACAGTTCATGAGGATTGGATGTATTTATGGTCGAAGTTCTCCTCGAGTAGCCACGCTGTTTACACCCTTATTGACCTGACCTGACATACCCTGAAGTCATATCATCATTCTTAGGTCCAGATGATTGTGGATAATCATGGGAATCTGAACTCATGGGAATCTGAACTCATGGTAATCTGAACTCATGGGTGATAAAGATGGTCTTTGGTCCAATTTACCCTACGTTAAGTTTAGGTTAGGTTAGGTTAGGTTAGGTTAGGTTAGGTTAGGTTAGGTTAGGTTAGGTTAGGTTAGGTTAGGTTAGGTTAGGTTGTGTTGGGTTAAGTTAGGTTAGGTTAACTCAGTAAAGATCAGATTAGGTTAAATTTGGTTATCTAACTTATTATAAGTCTGATTAGGTTAAGATAGATTAAGTTCGGCTAATTAAACTGGATTAAGTTAGATTAGTTTAGTTCAGATTCTACCCACATCACATTTTAAGTCAGGCTAGACTAACATAGATCAATTTAAGCTAAGTCAGGTTAAGTAACGGTCTCTCGTAAAAGTTAATTCTAAAGTTTCCTCTCGGCCGACGACAGACAGTTTACTATTCAACCATCTATCGTGAGGTAGAGTTTACGAGGGAAGTTGTGACTCTTGACTCATTACTGTTTGATCGTCAGAGATAGAGGAGATGGCCTGCCCGTGGTGGCTCTACGTGTGTGTGTGTGCGTCTGTGTATGTGTGTGTGGGTGTGTGTGTGTGTGTGTGTGTGTGTGTGTGTGTGTGTGGGCCATGTGTGTGTGTGTGTGTGTGTGTGTTATGTGGGTGGGGTGTTCTTACTGGTGGTGAAGATGAGGAGAGAGATTACAGAGATAGATGGCTAGCTGATGAATAGATGGATGAACACTTAGGTGGGTGGGTCGACGCACGGGTAGTTAGATATATGGATAGATAAATTGGCAGAGAGAGAGAGAAGAGAGAGAGGCACTTTTCAACCTTATCTGGCAATCACTCCCCACCCACATCACCCCCCACACACCCACATCCCTACACACCGACATCCTACCCCCACACACACCCACATCCCTTGTCCACCCCCCCACACACCCACATCCCTACCCACCCCTCCCCCACACACACAACCCCCACACACACGCATATAAACAAATTTAAACTAACATCTTTTATTCCTGGTGTGCCAGTTTAGAGGATAATTTCCCATTTCCTAATTTGTGTCGTAAGAGTGGTCAAATTGGGACGTATTAGCTTGTGGCACTTGGTATGGGCGCCGTTCTTGGCTGAGCCCAGCGGATTATACCTGCCAATTTATAGGTGAGATTAAAGTATGTGAGCTGAGTGTGTGAGTTAGGTGCTTGAGCTTTATAGGTGATGAGTGCGTGAGTATACAGTGTGAGCCGAGTGTGTGAGCAAAGGGCGTGCGTTATTATTCTAAGTATGTTTAAGTTGAGTCTATAAGCTGTGGATTTGAGATGAGAATACGAGATAATTTTATGTGAGCTGCTAAGGCTGTGAATGAGCTGAGACTACTGAGAGAAGCAATTTAAGTTCATAAGAAACTCCAAGCGCCCCCCATCTCCAAAATTAAAAATGTTTCCCCTCTCCACAAACCATTTTAAATATTAAATAACTACAGTTTTCTTTTTCTAACCCACAGAAATTGGGTCGAATATACACAAAGATAAAATATTTCTTCCTTGTGTATTAAAAAATGGCAACTGATTCGACGTAACTGCAGATTGTATCACGAAGAAAATAAGAAAAGTTCACGAAGGACAAAATGATATACAGCGTAATTACGAAGAAAATGTTTGCGAAATGTATTGCTCTATGAAAACAGTCAGAGATCGCTGGGCTAATAATAATAATAACATTTAATACGAAACAAAAGACACAATACCACATTATAAGATCTGCCAGACCGTAAAATGAATTCATACCAGAAATAATGCAACCATAATAGGGATTAAATCACAACTGAAATGCAAATACACACACAATACAATATACCGCTAGGACAACAGCAGAATATATGGTGCAGTCATGTGTCCGCTGTGACGATATATACTGTATAACATATAAAGGGATCACTAAAATGTAACAAACTGTAACTACGTGGGGGCCCAAAAAGCATTATAGTATGTGAAATAATGGTAGAATTTAGAGCATAAAATGTAGGAAATGTGTTTTAAAAAGCCATTGTTGTATGTGTTAGTCCAACTCATGACGATAAAATTAATAAAAACTATAAAAATAAATAAATAAATAAATAATAATAATAATAAATCCTACTAAAAAAATAAAGAATTAAAACAAAATAAATAAAATAAAAATGACTACAGGGAAATACACAAAAAAACAATAACGAGAACAAGAATAACATGGATTGCTTTCGCCTGTTTCAATTATCGGTTGTATTAGACGAGGTAAGGCCAGCTTGTCATCGCGTGTCAGGGCAAGGTTACTGGGTCCTACTCCCTCTCCACTACCTTACCGCCTCGCCCCTCACCTTCCCCTGCCCCCCCTGCCTATCCAAACAAGGCCAGGAGCACTGTACGGCAACACCACAGACAGACAGACAGAGAAGTGTGTTCTGTTTGATCTCTCTCTGCTGTGTGGTGAAAAGCTAGTGTGTTCTGTTTGATCTCTCTCTGCTGTGTGGTGAAAAGCTAGTGTGGCCCTGAAGCGTGTAGTGTGGTAGTGTGTTGGTATGGTGGTGACTGTGGTGGTGTAGCAGTATGGTGGTATGGTGGTGTACTGTGGTGGTGTAGCAGTATGGTAGTGTGTTGGTGGTGTACTGTGGTGGTGTAGCAGTATGGTAGTGTGTTGGTGATGTACTGTGGTGGTGTAGCAGTATGGTAGTGTGTGGTGGTGTACTGTGGTGGTGTAGCAGTATGGTAGTGTGTTGGTGGTGTACTGTGGTGGTGTAGCAGTATGGTAGTGTGTGGTGGTGTACTGTGGTGGGCAGTGTGGTGGTATGGTGGTGTACTGTGGTGGTGTGGCAGTATGGTAGTGTGTTGGTGTGGTGGGTGGTGACAGTATGGTGGTGTGTGTTGGTGTGGTGGTGTACTGTGGTGGTGTGGCAGCATGGTTGGTGTGTTAGTATGGTGGTTGGTGTACTGTGGTGGTGTAGCAGTATGGTAGTGTGTTGGTGGTGTACTGTGGTGGTGTAGCAGCATGGTAGTGTGTTGGTATGGTGGTGTACTGTGGTGGTGTAGCAGCATGGTAGTGTGTTGGTATGGTGGTGTACTGTGGTGGTGTAGCAGTATGGTAGTGTGGTGGTGTGGTGGTGACTGTGGTGGTGTATGTAGCAGTGTGGTGGTGTAACAGTATGGTAGTGTCTGGTGTGGTGGTGTAAGTAGTAATGTGGTGGTATTACAGACACACCACCACCAATCATACCATTCCAAAGCATACCACCATACTCACTAACCATCAACATTACACCTCTAGCATTACACCTTTAGTATATCATCATACCCCAGAATCATACATAAACACCTTCAGAATACTAAACATACCCAGAAAACACTCCATGAAACGTAGTCTAGAAAATTAACAAATACACCGAATATACCAACATACGCTATACCCAACACACTAGATATACCAAAACAAAAATACCTTCATCTACACCCAGCCACTACACCCACTCTCTATCACACACATCTTCCAAACCAGTTGCAACATTCCATAATTCACTTGATAGTAAAACAAAAGGAAAGCCTATAACAGCAATATATTTACAAGTGCAATGCCAACTCTATACATACATACTAGTCGATTGAATCAGGCAGAGCTGGTACCCCAAATATGCATGGTATCTCACCCCCACGACAGTATTAAGCGTCATGCAAGGGGGTTAACATCACACCCCGCCCCTGATGTAAACACATTCTCTCCCTTCTCGAGAATTGAAAATCTTGTTTCACCCCTCCAGCTGATGCGTCCTGATTGTAATTTTCAGCTCGAAGAAATTGGGGTCTCGGCAACACATGAGTGTACTGTGTAGTATGCGTGCGTGCGTGTGTGTGTGTGTGTGTTTGAATGTATGCATAAGTGTGGGCTTGTGTGTATTTGTGGGGGAAATGAGTGTGTGTGTGTGTGTGGGGGGGTGTAACAGTGCATGTGTAAGTATGGGTCTGAGTCTACGTGTGGAGAGACGTGTGTGTGTGTGTGTTCCTTACTCCGGCTTAGATTGCTTTTGTTATTTCGTTTATTCAGCGATTGAAGGTCAAGTGGGTTCACTCAGTACTGGGAAACC